TTTGCTTTTAGTTAACTCTAATAACCTTGGTCTATACACGGCGCTGTGAACATGATCAGAGGCCGTCAGCACAGAACACCGTGTCCTGTCCACCCTATAGCTGTCAAAACCCAAACGTCACATTATCACCTCCACTGTGGCACGGTGACGAGAGCAGCAGGAGAGCAAATCGGAACAGAAAGACAAAAATAGACTCAGATAATCAATATGAATGAAAAACGGCACGTCGCCTGTCATGCTTGAGCTGGACTGTAGTACGGACATCTTTCTGCCAAAGGTACAAATACTGTGGGGATAAATATGCCAGTATAAATAAGGTTTACCAAAAAAATCAAACAGTATTAAAACTGTAGTTCAAACTGCACAAATGTGATTTCAGACAACTTCAGTGTTCCAGTGTACGTGCAAGCAAAGGCCATGACTTCTGTTTTTAGCTCTGAAAAAACACACTGAACAAACGATGATTAAGAACAGCATTTAATAAACCAAAACCCCACATCACATCCACACTCTCTGTGTTTTCTGATATCCAGGTTGTAATCTTCCTCATCTACTCCCGCGTTGCCCGACGGCCACAACGACTGCAAAAGCAAACGGCGCTTTTTAAAAAAAAGTCTTGGGGTTGTTATTCTCCGAGTCCTGTCTGCAGCTCCAACCTGTTCCATCCAGATCACTGCAGCTCTTTCATTTCAACCCTCACTGCACTCCGGGTTATCGAGGCTACTGGCAGGCTTTCCAGCAGAGAGAGTGAAACTTGAGTGTATGTGTGTCATCTAGTGTGGATGGATAAAGGTGCAGGGCTGAGGTGGGGGGGCGGGTGGTGGTGGTGCTGCCTTTAAAACAGACTGCTGTGTCACACGGCTACATAGTCAGCATAGCTCCCTGTTTAGACGGCTCACCCTCCTCCTCCCACCTGCGGCTCTCTGCTCCACAGATATCATGTGGGGCTGCTGAGTCAGAGCTGAAACCGTCCAAACTGTCTGAACTCGCAGCCCCGGATGACGAGGAGGAGGTGCTGTAAAGATGTTGGAGCCGCGAATCGATCAGTTTATACTAAACACAGAATAAAGAGAAAAAAATATTTAAGAGAGAGGTCCACGTGTGGCCACCTCAGCCCTGCAAGTTACATGACTGCTGGCTGGCAGGGAGATTTGGCGGGAAGTCTCTCGGATTGTTTTACATTTTCGAGGATGGTTGTACACCGGCGGACATCAGAATCTGTTTTTGTGATTCTGGAGTGACGCCAGCGAGGGAGGCAGAGATGAGCTGTGATCGTCTTAATGACAGAAAGCAACGGCCTTTATGTAACGTTCCCGCTTTCAGAAGCATATTACATGACTGTGTTTATTACATCTCAGCAAGTCTGAGTGTTGTTGTCCCTGAAATACACATATTCAGTTTATGTAATGCTTGAAAAAGTCCCAGCAGCTTGTTTTCCATCACTGAGGTCACGTCCACTGAATGAGAGGGGATAGTTTTAGCAATTTCTGTTTTACTTTGTGTTTTATTTCGCTAAATATTTTTTTCTGAAAATCAGGTATGAAAGATTTTCATCTGGGTCGTGATTAGTAGCCAAATCAACTGTATAAAAAAAGGCCTCCACTCCAGCATCTTCTATGTGTCGAGCATCTTCTGTAATTATTACATGAACAAGGTCACTTCAGATGCTACATTTAATTATAAAGTAAATCATTTTTTCTGCATTTTTATTTTACATAAGAATAAATAGGAAAGTAATCGTTTCACACCTTCAAGACTTAAAGACTGCTTCCTGGATGGGTTTTAACCAACCCGTCCACGTGCAGGACTCATGACCGCTGTGTTTCTAAAAGCACCAGAGGTATCTCCATAAGGTATTTAAGTGTACATTACACAGTGAAATTATCACGTCTGTTACTGTGTTTTGCTTTGTGTGTCTCCGATTTTTGTGGGGAAGCATCTTCCATCCACAGGTAGCGACCTATAGATAGCGTCTGCTGCCAAATCGCCAACAGTTGCACAACCTTTTAATGACACCCAGTCACGACCTCAAGGCTGTGGCAGGTTCTGATCTGGGTGTTGGCCTCAGATAACTAAGCAGCTCCTACTCTAACATTAGCTGGTGAGTCAGGATTCTTGAACATTGGAAGTTTCTGTTTTGGAGTATCGAGCTTCCGGCAGGGGACTCTGTTAGTTTCAGACCTCCTTATCTGCTCCCTACCTCAAACACCGGCTTAGCGTCTCTGCAAGGGGCGCCATCATTTTAAAATAAGGGCCCATTATTTTTGCTGACACAGCAAAAGCTGGCCATAGCCACAAGGTCATAAGTGTAGCTGTGTCTTGTTGTGCTGTTATTATGCCTGGTCAGCCGTCGGCAACTGGCCAGAATAACTCGGATGAAGGCAGAATGAATTTATTCCGTCTACTTAGCTTACAGAGGTAGTGCTGACTTCTTGTGACCTGTAATCACAAGAAATAAAAAGGTGACAAAGATATTAACAGTCAGATTTTAGTTGTTATGAACAAAGGAGTAAAAATCAGCAGGGCACTTTATAGCAGCATTGGTTTAAAAAAACAAACAAAAAAACAAACAAAGTTGGAGATGACGGATGCAGAGTTGATAGATGAGATCTGCAGTTGAATCACAAGCTGAAGATGCGCTGATGAACACTGGAGGTGAAATACGTTGAAATGACAACAGCAAACAGGAAAATAAAATTGTGGGAAAATCAGAGAGGTTACAGTGAAGAAAGGGAACAACAGGGTCAATATTCAGTGTTTTTGTTCACAGCTGGCCGGGACTCAGTGGTGAAACTATAACTGTTCATTCTAATCATGAAACCAGACAGTGAGACAAATCTTTCTAGTTTTCTTGGTATATGTGCATGAAAATGAGAATCCTGTGTATCATTGCCTTTATTTAATGCAATAACTTTATTTTTAATAATACAAATGATTGATTGCAGGAGACCAGATCTCTCAGCCTGCAACGCTCTGGATGCTGAACAAATATATGTCGTGATTGTTTTTTTTTTCTGTCTATTTTCTAAAGTTTACACCAGTACGTTCACAAACCAAGGATCTAATGCACATCACTACACTTCACACTATCACAAGGAGCTGATGTAATGTCTGTGAGTTTTAGAAAGGGAGCACTGTTGGAAAGTAAAAGTCGGCGCTGCTGATTAAAAAATATGACAATTTTTCCACAAAATGTAAATTTCAAAACTACAGTTCAAGTTTTCCTTGCAGATGTAATATATTCTGAAACCAATAAAAGCAAGCTAATAGTTTGAGTCTCATATTTGTCAGACTTTAGTTGTCAGCACTTCGACAACGTCGTGTATGAAGGTGTCCAACACAAACTATCAAGTGTAACCATAAACATCAATGCTACTGGTTATGATAATAGTCTACATTATACTAATAAAATGTAACTGATTACTGTTACATTAGAATCACCCCATGTTAGGGTTTCCCGTCACCATCCAGTGCAACACTGCTCTAACAAGGAAAACTCCATCCGGCCAAACACACAAACACACATAAACATACACACACCTGTGCACAAAGCAAGCTTCTCGTCCAAGACACAGCAATCACCACCATCAATTACACACGGGTGTTCAGTTCATAATGTTCTCAAAGTATTGAAAGCTACTGAGTGATGACAGTGACAGTGTGTCAGGACACATTTGCCTTCAGTGTAGGAGGAAGTTTTGGATATCAGGCTGCAGGATCTCCCTGCAGAAGAGCGAGAAGGAGACGTGTCCACAGGTTGACCCTTGCTGTCAGCCAGCATGTGGACGACTACAGCTTCAACACAAGACGGGGGCTCCCTCTGGTGCATCTCAGGAGTAAAGGCAAAGTTAAGCATGAGAAAGGGTCTAAACATTTCTATATCATATCGTTATTTGACGCCGTAATCCTAAAGCGTTGATTTGTTATTGCAGAGAAAGAAGTCTGCACCTGTTAGCTTCCTGTTACAGCTCTACTCTATTGAAACAGCAAACTTTGCAATCAAGTCATTAACACGCACTAGGCGCTCACCGCTGCCAATGAAGCTATGAGATGTCTAAAAGTATGCAAACACTTCTTGAAATCTCCATCGAAATTCAGTTTATTAATTTCATTTCTTACTGAGAATTGCAGACAGTGACCCTGTTTTAAAGGATCTCATATCTGATACATGCAGCTTTAATCTAATGCAAACATTATTTATGTCCAGGGCTTATTCCCTCAGTAGAAAGTAGTTCCAGGAGAAGTGTACAGACCGTGTGCTGAAGGTGTGGATGTGCAGCAAAGACACCGTTCCCAATGCCAATGTTTGCTATTTTCCAAATGTAATTTTAAAATATATTATATCCTATAAAACTCAATTACATTCAACTGTGATGTATCAGTAAAAAATCAGAGTCAGATGTATTAAATTAAATGTAGTTCATTGTTTTGGTTTGTTTTGCATCTTTTGGTAATTTGGATGAAGCAACATTTTAAAATCGATTCAAAGATGATAAAACAAACAAACAAAAACTTCATCATGGAGCGCAGTGAATTTCCAAAAGACATGAATACAACCCAGAGCTGCATCCAAACACACTGCAGAGGCAGACCAACATTTCATGTCGGTTTTAAATGGATATTATTATCATTTGTATTTAACAGACAGCTCAGAAAACACTGACATCCCTACGACCTGAAAAAAATAAACATATCTTTAAATCGAACCATCTAAAATTAAAATATTCCATTCTAAGTTGCACAACTGAAAACACTCCCTAATAATCCAACAGCAGCACCAAAATGCCAAACGCGTAAATTGCGCACAGCCCCGCTCAGCTTGGAGACGGCAGGGTGTGGACCGTGATGCTTCAGATCAAATCAAAGAAGACTTTCAGCTTCAGGGCGAGACAGAAAGCAGATCTGCAGACTGATGTTGTGACACTAAAGGAGGCGGAGCTGCACTGGACCATCCTTTGTGAGACAGTTTAGGTTTCAGTTTCTTTTCCTCAGAAAGGAAACGTCCACTGATTGATTCTCATTTTCCGTCTGTCCTGAGCTGCTGCTACTCGCCACGTCTGCTTGCAGAAGTCAAAATGCATGAAGAAAGTAAACCAGCATTCAGGTAAAGTTTCACCTTTGTTCCATTACGCAGGTCGACTTCGCAGAGTTTAGTTTGCAGAGAGTGACAGCTGAAATACTGACGTGTGCAGTTTTATTCGTATTGAAATACAAGTTAAACTAAAGCCAGAAAGAAAATGCTTTATGCTTTTATTGTTATTGTCCGATCTATAATATCTGTCCCCACTGCATCTCTACAAAAACACAGTGACCAGATAGTATTGGGACAGCCTACAGACACACAGGCAGAGTTAATAGGTGAAGCCTGTATATAAGTTATTTTATGTTGTCTCATTTCCTTACATTATTACTATTCTACTAATAATAATACTATTCCATTTTATACTACACATTTCCTAAGAGCTTTAGCCGCCCAGAGCCACCAGAGGGAGTACAGCCTCAATCAAGTGCTTCTGTCAGGAGTACAGGAAGCCAAGGCCAACTCAATGCACTTGAGAGTTGAGAGAAAGGTTGGGCAGAAATACTCCAACGTCTGAGTGTTTTGCAAAATATAAAGAAAAGGAAGGAAGTTGAAGGGGTGTGCAACAGAGAGATCCATCCATCCAAACTGAAGCTGAGATTGGCCGATGATGCTAACTCTGTACGGAACTCTGTAGCGCTGTGCAACACTCAAAAACCTGTCATCTGTTTTGTAGCAGCCAAACCAGGAAGCCTCCAGCCAATTGTGTTGTTGCCGCATGTCGTCGTGTTGCTTCTGCATAAATATAAACTGCAGAGTTTTTAGATCAGATTTGACAATGGTCATTGAAATTGCTCAGGGGTGTTACCAAGATGGGTGCCGAATGGCGAGACTTGCCTACGAGGACTTGAAATTTCACTTTCATGTTATATTACTCTGCACCGTCGCCTCGCATCAAGAAGGTCGCCGGGTCGTGTCCCGGT